GCCCAGGCCTTCTGTACAGCCTTAATTCTGTGTCATTTGCTTTTTATCTTGCCCATCATTCTCACCAAAGACACAAATTTGAGAAAGTATGGAATCAGGAAGTATAAATGCTGTCTACTCGTGGTTTACCTAATTCATCAGAAAATATAACCTACATATAATGTACTTGTTTCAATTAGACTAGGGAACACATATAATGTGCTTTGCCAACCTTAAAGCGCCTTAGAAACCCTTGCTAGCTGGCTAACCCAACCATGTAATTCTTTTGGATTAGGTAAAACCCCTTGTGAAAGCAGGTAGATTGCCTTCCGTCAGACATCTGCATCAGGTAATATACATGGGAAATTCTTATGGACTTTGGGTTCAGGGTGGATTCTACATGGAGATGCTGTGCTCTTCCTTTCTTTCTTTAGAAGGGGGAAAAGAGTAGAAAGGCAATAAATGACACTTTGTTTTCACAAAACTGAAACTGCTCTGCTGGTTTCAGCAAAATATCTTTATGAAAAGACTAGCAAGGTTTTGTGCCTATGCCCTCTCTCAACAAACATCGCTGACAGTCACTAATGAACGTTATTATGAAAAGAAAAACTGAACAGCGTGTGAGAGAGACAGAAAATCACTATGGATCTCCTAAACACTGCTGATCTTAGAAGTGATTTACAGACTTCTCAGGGAATGGGAGATTACCTTTTCCTGTTCCCAGCAATAATTTTCTTCCACCAAACATAAACAGAATTAAGCTCATTTGTTATAAAAAGTACCATTTTCACCCATCTCTGTTAAAAATAAATGTTTTGCTTCCTTTTGGTTGAAATGATGCCTTGTCATAAGGGAGTGTTCACTCTTCCATCTAGTTTCTATCTTTTAGTCCTAAACTACAGGGTCAGTCATTGTAAATATTTAATTATGATATTCACAGATCTATGTTATGCAGAACTTGAAAGAAAAGCACTTCAGGCAAGGAGGCTTCATATGGGAAAGTACCAAGAAAAAGAGGAGATACAAGGTCATCTTATTTATCTCTCTTCCTATCCTGATTAACCACAGGATTCCCATTCTCTTTTGGATTACCATGAACATCCATGGACTTAGGGTCGTCCATAGCCAACAAGGCAAAGAGCAGACTCATGGGATTCTTTGTAGCTTCTGCCATCACTCCTGGCTTCCCCTTGCTCAAACCTCCCCCTAACCCCCACCAAAAATGTCTTCTCTGCTATTGTTTGCTTCTCCAAGTCAATCAATCAGTTGGTCAATTGACAAGAATTTATCAAGCAGGAAGATTAAAATAAAGTTCATTTAAGCATTAAAAAATGGAAGAAATTTCATGATTCCCAATTAGCATGTAAGAAATGGCTACTGTATATGTCAGGCACCATGCAAGGCACTGAAGATAATGCCAGGCAAAAATGAGACAGTGCCTGGCCTTAACAAGCTTACGTTCTATCATGGAAGAGAACATGTACACATATAAATACATAGAAAACATAAACAAAGTAAATAATAATGACTAGCATTTATATAGCATTTAAGGTTTGCAAAGTGCTTTACATATGTTAACTTGTTTGATCCTTGCGATAACCCTGGGAGGTAGATGCTATTATTATTCCCATTTTACTGAGGCAAACAGCAGTGTTAAGTGACTTGACCAAGGTCATACAGCTAGTGTCTGAAGCAGAATTCAAACTCGGGTCTTCCTGACTCCAGACCCAGGGCTCTACACAACAAAACCACCTAACTGCTTGAATAACAATGTAACTTGGGGGGAGGACTGAGAAGGGGCTCCAGGAGCCTCCTTCAGAAGTGCTAATTACTACCTTCAAAGGAAAAGAGAGATTCTTAGCGGCAGAGACAAGGAGGCAGAGCATTCCAGGCATGAGGAATGACTTCTGCTAAAGTTTTGGGCTGGGAGATGGAACATCATGTGTAAGGAGCAGCAAGAAGCCAACGTGGCCAGATTGAAGAGAACACGGAGTAATATCTAACGAGGCTGGAAAGGCAGATTGAAGCTAGGTTAGAAAGGCCTGATACTTGATCTTAGAAATAATGGGGAGCCACAGAAGTCGATTGACAAGAGCAGATCTGTACTTTAGGAAGATCACTTTGGTGGCCACATTGGCTATTCAAAAAGCATTTTCAATTCAATTCAATAAACATTTATTAAGCTCCTACTATGCCAGGCACTGTGCTAAGCACTGGGAGTACACAACAGAGGCAAAAATCAGTCCCTGCTCTCAAGAAGCTTACAGTCTAGTGGGGGAGGAAACACGCAAACACATGGATACGAAGCAAGTCCTGTAAGGATAAAGTGTTGTTTGTCCTGTTTTTGATTTTTTTTTTGGGGGGGGCTAAGCAATGGGGATTAAATGACTTGCCCAGGGTCACACAGCTAGTAAGTGTTATGTGTCTGAGGCTGGATTTGAACTCAGGTCCTCCTGAATCCAGGGCCGGTGCTCTATCCATTGTACCACCTAGCTGCCCCTTGTCCTTTGTTTTTGAAGAGGACCAATGACAGCAGGAGGGTGATGTCTTGACTTGTGTATGAATGGCAACTCTGCACACGGTTATCAGCCTCATTGTGTTCCTGAGTCGTCGAAGTCCAGTGGCAAGACAAAAGCCAAGACGACTGGTGATGGCCTGGGATATGGCGGATGACCTTGGCGTCTTGAAAGTCTGACCAAGCTCTACGTGTTCCACAGTGCCTGCTTTAGCTGCCTTCGTGGCCGTTGGAACAAACTGTCTTCATCTGCCCATTGGATCAAGGAAGCGTTCACACGCTTGCAGCAGACATCCCCCTAACTTACCAACAGTCTTGAGGCCTGTCAGTGACCTTCAGCCTGGTTTAACCTGTCTGCCAACACGGTTTTTCCAGGGTGTGACTGCTGCACATGCTAACCTTCTTGGAGCTACAGGTGAGAGCTGGGTGAAGGTGGGCTTGACAAGCCCTCACCCCAAGGTCACTAGTCCTCCTGAACACCTCATATGCCTATACAGGATAAATAGTTAATAACCAAGAGAGGGAATGCACTGGAATTAAGAGGTGTTAGGAAGGCTTCCTTTGGAAGGTGAGACTTTATTTGGGACTTAAAGAAAGCCAGGGGTGCCAGTGTTTGGAGTGGAGGAGGGAGAGCATTTCAGGCAGGAGGGACAGTCAGAGAAAATGCTGGGAGCCAAGACGTGGAGTGTCTTGTTCATGGACTAGCCAGGGGGCCAGGGTCACTAGATCAAAGAGTATGCCTTGAGGTGAGGGAGACATTGTGTGCATGACTATATAATCCTAGAGGGAAGGCCTAGCAGGAGGGGAGAGGAGATAATAGGCCATGTGTGGAGGGATGATTAAGCTGAGTGTTGCAGGAAGCAGAGGAGGCAGAGGTGAGAAGGCTAAGAGTTCTAGACATGGGGGAGAGCCAGGGCAAAAGCCTGGAGTTGGGAGATGGGGCATCACATTGGGAGGACCAGCATGTGAGTGGCAGTGAGGCTAGATTATAGAATGCACGGAGGGGAGGAACAGGTACAATAATCATTCAGGTAGGAAGGGACATGATTATTATAAGGACTTTCCAAAGCCAAACGTGGGACTTTCTCTCTAGTATTGCTAAAGAAGCCTTTGGCATGTATATAGATAACATTCATAAAGATCTTGTAGAGTTGGCAAACTAGACTCATTGATCAGTAATTACTAGTGTTTGCTTCATCATCTTCTTTCGTTCATAACAACATCCATGTCCCACCAAGCTTTTGGTTTCCTCCTCTCTCTATTGTAGACCACCTCCGAACATACTCGGTCTGGTGCAGCTGGTCTTTCCAATTTTGTAGTCATTAGCATTGCTTCTACTTCTGCACATATCGGTGTGTTAAGGGATGTTAAGAGGCCAAATGGTAGTGCCACCCTGGTGACATCTTGACCTCTATGTCAAGGGTCCAGTTCCATAGTCATCACTTTTTCCTCCTAATTCCTGGGACATTTGTTATCCTGCCAGAGGCTCTCAAAGTGTGGTTGGGGACTTCCTACCATCCCCTGGGTCCTTTCATGGGATCTTCAAGATCAAACCTTAATCACAACTAATGATGCTAAGATATTCTAGTTTCCAATATAGTACATATGAGTAGATATAACACACATAAACAAAAGCTTTTGGAGGGGTCCTCAATAATTTTAAGAGTATAAAGGGGTGCTGAGACCAAAAAAATTGGGAACCACCATTTCACATTTAGCACACACTTTGCCTGCATTGTTATTTATCTTTTCATGTATAGTTCTATGTCTTCAACCATATCATAAGCAGCTTGAGAGTACCTAAACCCTGGGCAACTTTGCCTGGCACTCTGTACGTACTAGGTGGTTTAAGAAAATGTTTACTGATAATATAGTAAGTGGGATAGCTAGGTGGAATAGTGGGTAGAGCACCGGGCTTGGAATCAGGAACACTCATCTTCTGAGTTCAAATCTGGCTTCAGACACTTACTAGCTGGGTGACCCTGGACAAGTCACTTAACTCGAGCTGGAGAAGGAAATGGTGAACCACTCCAGTATCTTTGCCAATAAAATCCCAAATGGGGTCACAGAGAGTTGGATGTGACTGAAAAACGACTGAACAACAACAAAAACTGTTGAGAGTGCTAAGATTCAACCTACAGACTTTTTAGTCTCACTGGTCACTTAGCAGAGCTAACTGTCTTAATAATGTGTGCTGGAGGAAGCTGAGTAGTCTGGCATATAGAGGGCTAGACACGGAGTCAGGCAGACTGAGTTCAGATCCCACTTCAGATGCCTCCTAGCTATGTGACCCTATGACAGTCACAGCCTCTGTTTGCTTCCAATGAGGATACTCACAAGTACCTCCCTCCCAGGTCTGTTGTGCGGATCAAATGAGATCATGTTGGTAAAGAGCTTCGCCCACTGCTCGGCACACAGCAGGCGTGCCTACACATGCCTGCTCTTGTTATTATATACACATCACTGGTCACATTATCAATGCTCTGACGTTGTCGGTGTCACTTACTACTGGCTCGATGACAAAGATGCTGCCAAAGAAAAGCATATTGTTGGCCTGCACGGTCTGCCTCTGGTTCCGGAAAGCGTGGGAGATGACAGAGAGGTGCTCTCGCAGAGACGGGTCAAGGATGCACTCCTGTAGAAGCGCTTCTGTCTTCTCCTCCTCCTTCTTGTTGAGGTCACTGCATAGCCTGGAGCCAAAGAGGAGAGAGGAGTGAGAAGGAGTAAATGCCCGGCCAGCCTCAGCGCAGGGGCCGCTTCCCGCACTCAATCAGTCAGTCAACATACATTTATGAAGGGCCTACTGTGTGGCAGGTACCATAATAAGAAACAAAATGAACCAACCCAGTGCCTGCCCTCAAGGAGCTCACAGTCTTATGGGGGAGGCAACATGCAAATAACTATCTATAGACAAGAGAGATATATTACATATACATGCGCATACACACATCAATGTGCATCTATATATGTATATACATACATGTAGGCAAAGATGTATATGTGTGTGTATATGAGTATGAATGTATATGTGTGTACATACATACATATGTATATACATATGCACTTCCATCCATGCATACATATGATAAACTGGAGATAATCTCAGAGGTAAAGCCGTTCCTGATCCATCCAGTTGTTAGCACTCTGTCCCTCTCACAATTACTTCTTATATATCTTATGTTCACTTGTTCATATATAGGTCATGGTCCTCTAGTAGAATGTAAGCCTGTTGAGGGCAGTATTGCTTTATTTTTGTCCTTCGTTTCCTCAACACCCAGCATAGTGCCAATGGTAGGCACTCAATAAATCTGTTGGTTTTTTAATTCAACTGAATCTCCTCTCCACCTCAGACACGCCCTCCCCAGGAATGTTTGCCCTCCCTCACCAAGCCTTCCAAAATGTCAGAGCCACTTAGGTGAGAGCTACTGCCCATGTAAAAGAAACACAAAGCAGGCAGATTATTTATAATAAGCACACTTTCTCCAGGAGGGGCTCTTCAGTTTACGATTAAAGTATTGAATTTTTAAGAAAGAAAGTCCTAGATGAGTAGGAAGTAGGAAAATCACATTTTTATTGAGAGGATTCGACAACCTCAATGTGGTGGCAGCCGCCTAATGTCCTCCCGTAGGGAAGGTATTGAAACCTCGAAGCTGAAAGGAGCCTTGGAAGTCATACAGTTGATTAACTAACCTTTGGAATAAATAATGTCTTTCCATATGTTTAAGTGCATAGGAAATCTTTGGGGCTTTAAAACTTAAAGGCAAAAACTAAAGTGATACCACTGCCATGAAGTCAAAACAAAGCAATCATCCCCCCCAAAAAATTCCTAATCCCTTACACAAGTCAATCATGCTGATGTCCTAGCATTTACTTCAGTACCTGGCATATCCTAGGCACTTAATAAATGCTTGTTGACTGACAAAACCAGTGAAGTTTGAAATGATGAAAGATGCGTTTAGCTCTGACTTTCTATGATATTCAAAGTTCATCTTCCAAAAAATTAGAGAGGTAAACCGTGGGGTTTTCTCTTAACAAATGATGTCTCCAGTATATGTAATAGTCTGATTGTATTTAGCGAAAATATATATGATCATAAAAATACCATCTTACAAACACTTTTGACCAGCCTTCTCAATCCCCCAGATCTACGTGACTAGGAGAACATAAACTTTCCAAAGCCTTTCTTTTTTCTCTTAGCAGCACAGAAACTTAGAATTCCAGGATGTAGAAAGGCAACTTAGAAGGACATCATCTGACAAACCTCCCACTAAATCCCTTCCACGCGATCTCTGGCAGGCCATCCAGACTCTGCTTGACTCCTTCCAGGTACAGGGAGCTCTCTATAGTATAAGGCAGGTCACTCTATTTAGGTACAGCTCTAATGATCCAAAGGCTCCTCCCTTATACTGAGTTGAAACTTGTCTCCCTATAATTTGTGCACAGGGGTCATTTTGGCCTCTGGAAAAATACAAAGCACATCTGTTCCCTCTTCCACATGTCTCTTTAGGTATTTGAAGACCAGTATTGTTAGGAACGTGTATGCTTGGCCTAGCCATCCTGGGAAATATTCTTGGCCCCCAGACCAGTCACCCCTCACGTCATGCTCTGGACTATGCCGCCATGCCTCAGCAGCTTCTTGACTGTTCCTGTAGGCGCTTCCTCCCTTTGGAGAGCTTTTTCTAGAACCTCCATTTTAGGGAAGGGCTTCAGATCAGCCATCCCTTATTCTCTAGACTTAGCCACCATGCCCAATGCAGATACCTTATTTCCCCCTCTTTGATTCCCCTTCCATGTGTTTCCTTGTCCCATTAGAACTCTCTGAGGGCAGGAACTGTCTTTTTGCAGGTACTTGCATCTCTAGTGCTTAGCACAATGCATAGCATAATACTTATTGACTGATGGACTCCCAGTATCATCAGCATTGGCTAACATCAAGTTATCTGCCTTAGAAGGCAAGGCATGACAACTCACTTTTTCCTCCAACTCAGTTCTTTCCAGAACAAGAAGACCCCAACAAGACCAGTGCTCAATTGAAGGAGGCAGCTTTCCATTGTGAACAGGACTGAACTTTGTTCAGTCTGAACTGACCTATCCCTTAGAAAAGATCAGCATCATCCCCACTGACAACTTCTGCCAGAACAAACAGGCCCCAGTGAACCATGTAGCTGGGTTGAAGAGATAACTTGACCATTGACATTGATTCTAAACTGATTTGTCCCTTCTCAGTCTGTCTCTCTCTTTTTCAAGCTAGGAATTAGGAAGTCCATGTGGCCTTGCTTCAAAGGACAGAGAGATAATCAAGCCTATCTTTTTATGAGGCATGCTTCTGCACTTTTTATATCTTTATTGTGAAGAAAGGGGTTAGCAAAAAATAGTAGGACTCTGGTTGGTACCTACAGCATAAAGCAATGCCCACCAGCAAGCAGTCATCTTCCCTGGGGCTGTGTCCAATATTGCCCTGGCTAGGGCAGGGCTTGTGGAGGGGTGAATGGAGGTTCTTCTTCTCCATCAGGGCTCTCCCCCTCAGTTCCTCTGGCTGTTTCCAATCATTCACTTGCCCCCTTGCTGGTCTGCACTGCTCTAAACTTCGTGCAACTCTCCCCAGACCCCAGAAGGTGTGGACTATTCTCTGTAGCTGCATAGGTCTACTTCATCATCTCCCAGCAAATGCAGTGGCTTGTCATAGGCTTCTTTCTCCTTCTTCCACTGAGGAGTTGAAGACAACTGCATTGCTCTGCATTGCTGCTACCACTGATCTCCCTTCAGTATGTCTCAGTCTCAGCAAATTGAATTCACACTCTCTCCCAGGTGTCTAATACGGGCCATGGGGGAGGAGCACTCTGGACTCTGTCTCAGCCAGGCATGCTAACAAGTCTAAATGACACTCGAAGCCAGAAGGTCTCTTTTTCCTGAGTGTCCCTTCTATTAGATGTTGCTTCCCAAAGTCCCCCCACAACATGCTCCCTGGAAGATTCCTTTAGACTAAAACAACCTCCCCTTAAGTCTTATCAACGGGTCTCTCCACTTTCATTGTCTCATGGTAACTGATCACACTTTGCAGTCTCACTTTCCTGGTGTTCAGGTGATGTGACTCCTAGCTATGAAAACTAGGTCCGGAACCTAGTCCAGAGCACTGGTCACTTACAGAGCCTCTCATCTGTGCTCAGTAGTTGTTCACATGTTGTCTCCCTCATGCCAATGTTAGCTGTGTGAGGGCAGGGCATTGCTTTTCCTTGTATCCCTGGAGCCTATTAGTCAGAGTGCCTGGCACAGAATAGACACCTAATAAATGCTTGTTAACTGATTGACTCTTTCCATTTAGATTTCCAGAACAGCTGATTAACATCAGGTAAGAAGGACATTTACTAAATGAATTTCAACACAAACTTTTGTTGAATTGGTAGGTGGAATTGAAAAGTGAGCATCAAGATATACCTAGTACTTAAATAAGATAATACATGTAAAGCATTTATAAATCTTAAAGTTCTATAAAAATATGTAGTAGTAGTAGTAGTAGTAGTAGTAGTAGTAGTAGTAGTAGTAGTAGTAGTAGTAGTAGTAATGAGCCTATCCCCAACTCAATTTCCATTTGTTTATCAATCAATCAATAAACATTCATTAAGCACCAGTGCTAGGCATGAGCTAGGGATACAAAAGAGACAAAAGGCAGTCCCTGCCCTCAAGGAACTCAAAGTCTAATGAAGGAGACAACAAGCAAACATAAGTACAAATAAGCTATATACAGAATGATTAGGAAATTACTAACAGAGGAAAGGTGCTAGAATTCAGAGGGGATGGGAAAATCTTCCTGTAGAAGATGGGATTTTAATTGGAAATTAAAGGAAGCCAGAGAATCCAGTAGATAGAGATGAAGAAGAGGGCATCCCAGGCATGGGTGGCTGCCAAAGAGAATGCCCAGAGCCAAGAGATGGAGCATCTTGTCTTGTTCAGGGCACAGCTAAGAGGCTAGTGTCATTGGATCAAAGAGTCCATGGAATGCATACCTTATTTCCTAAGGTATAAGAAGATTGGAAAGGCAGGAGAGGGCTTATGAAGGGCTTTGAATGTTAAACAGAAGATCTGATCCTGGAGGTGACTGGGGGGAATGTAATTTATTGAGTAGGAGGATGCTGTGGTCAGGTATGTGCTTCAGAAAAAGTAATTTAGTGGGTCAAATGGAGGATGGATTAGAGTAGAGAGAGACTGGAGTCAGGCAGAACCCCCTAGGAGTTATTGCAATAGTCCAGATGTGAAGCGAAGAGGGCCTGTACCAAAGTGGTGGCACTATCAGAAGAAAGGAGATGCATTAAAGGGATGTTGCAAAGGTGAAATCAATAGGGCTTGGCAACATACTGGATATGGGATGGGGAATGGTGAGAGATAGTGAGGAGTCCTGGATGACTCCTAGGATGTGAGCCTGAGAGATGGGAAAATGGTGTTGCCCTCTACAGTAATAGGGAAGGTGGGAAGAGAAATGATGATGAAGTTGGTTTTGGACATGTTGAGTTTAAAATGTCTACTGGACATCCAGTGCGAGATGGCTCAAAGGTTGTAGATGCGAGACACAGCAGAGAGCATGGGGCAGGATAGGTAGATTTGAGATTCATGGGCATAGAGATGGGAATTAAATCCATGAGAGCAGTGCCTGGCACGTAGTAGGTGCTTAATAAATGCTTGTTGATTGACTGAC